ATGGCATTTTGCTATATATATGACTAAATAAATAACTGCCATCTCTAATTCCTACTATATATATTTTTAAGCACATGTTTTAAATACAAATATTAAGTTTAAATAGTGAATGCTAAATTAATTTTTCTTTGATAACTCTTCATAAAACCAAATATATAAATTAATATTTGATAATTAATTAATTATTATATTTATTTGTTCTTTTTAACCATTTATTATTAATTAATTAAATTTCATAAATTGCTATTCAATATTTTTGAAAAAAAATAAATGATATAATAGATTAAAAAATATAATAATTTAGAAGAAGTAATTATTAATTTTTTTATTAATATCCTTTAAATTTATATAAATCAATAAAAAAAGTTTAAAAGCTCTTCACTTTTATCTCATTAGGTTCTCCATATTGATCTCTAGTATATTTTATTAATTAATTTTATTATTATTAATATTTTTTAAATATTTAAATTTCAATAAAGAGAAAGTTAAATGGGTGATGAAGATGCATCAGGCTTAGGTTCTGCTTTAGCAAATTGCATTAATCTCTCAAATTTGACACTTGATCTTAGGTAAAAACAGTTTATTTGTTTTGGATTGTGATATTTTTAATTATAAAAACTAATTAAAAACAATAAAGCTCTTTTTTCTTTTTTTTTATTGTGCTTGCTTTTTTTTGTTCTTTCTTTGTTAATTTAGCTCATCATTTTATTTTCAACTTTTGCTTTTATTATTTATTTCTTATTATTTCATATTTTTTCTTCATTTTTTCCTTCTAATTAACTATTTAATGATATATTTTTTCTTCAATATTTAAAAAGTAACAATTAAATTGGTGATGAAGGTGCATCAGGTTTAGGTTCTGCTTTAGCAAATTGCATTAATCTCTCAAATTTGACACTCTACCTTTAGTAAAAACAGTTTATTTGTTTTGGATTGTGATAATTTTAATTATAAAAACTAATTAAAAGCAATAAAGCTCTTTTTTCTTTTTTTTTATTGTGCTTGCTTTTTTTTGTTCTTTCTTTGTTAATTTAGCTCATCATTTTATTTTCAACTTTTGCTTTTATTATTTATTTCTTATTATTTCATATTTTTTCTTCATTTTTTCCTTCTAATTAACTATTTAATGATATATTTTTTCTTCAATATTTAAAAAGTAACAATTAAATTGGTGCGATGGGTGCATCAGGCTTAGGTTCTGCTTTAGCAAATTGCATTAATCTCTCAAATTTGACACTCTACCTTTAGTAAAAACAGTTTATTTGTTTTGGATTGTGATAATTTTAATTATAAAAACTAATTAAAAACAATAAAGCTCTTTTTTCTTTTTTTTTATTGTGCTTGCTTTTTTTTGTTCTTTCTTTGTTAATTAAACTCATCATTTTATTTTCAACTTTTGCTTTTATTATTTATTTCTTATTATTTCGA